AAGGCCTTCCTTTAGTGTACGAACAAAGAACACTGTACAGGCGTCGGCTTGTTTCCTTTGCTTCTGCAGACATCTCAGCCATCTTCACTTGTTTATCATCTTTTAGGTTCCTTTCTGCGATGTCCATGATCTTCACCATGTTGGAATCCACTGCTCCAAGCCAGATCCGCATCCTGTTCCTGAACTCTGACCATCCACTCTTCTCTTCTTGCCATGTTCCTGGGGAAAATGCTTCGGGGCTTTTAATCAGCTTGTGCAACTCCACTTCTCCAGGCTTTCTTTGTTCCTTTACTGCTTTCTCCAGAGATGCTCCTATCTCCTCAAGTGTCGTTGCTGCGTTCGTGTGGGCGTCTGCCAACGCTGTTTGTGATGTCTTCTGTTGTTCCTGAACTGCTGTCAGGGTTTCCTGGAATGCTTGTGTGAGTCCTGCTTCTCTTTGACTTCCTGAAGCTGCTGAGTTCCTGATCTCCTCTGCTAGTGTCTGTATTCCTTGTAAGGTCTGTGCATTGATCTCGGCAAGTGCCTTCAATGCATCCTCCATTCCTTTTGCTGCTTCAAGGTTGCTGTACACTAGTGCTGCTAAAAGTAGTGACTTGCACTGTTTCCTGCACACTGCTTGTGCTCTCCTTTCTCCTCTTGTCTTCCTTTGGTGCTTCGAGCGGTTGCTTGCTCTTGCGAAAAACAAACTAGAATAGTACGACAGGGTGATCCAAGTAATCAGTCCCATTGGGGTTCCTAAGAACACTGCTATGCGAATTCCTTGAAATACAACTCTGTTGGAAATGACTTCCTGAACTATCACATGCACGACGTCGTGAAACTTCTTTCCTACGATTGCTAGCTTTTCTACGAAACTGTGAACATGTTCCTGTACAACTTTCCTCAGTACTTCTCGCTGTTGTTTTACTAGGTACCTAGGGGCGTAGCCTGACTCAAGGCTCTCACTCTCCTGGTTCTCGGTGTTCTGGTCGCCGTTCCTGTTCTCTTCCGTGTAGTACTCGCCGGTCACGCTAACGACGCTGTAGAGCTCGTTCATCACTTGGTTCGCGCACAACAAAGCGTACGGTACCATGACTTTTCCTATCTCCACATAGTCCTTAATCGTGTACGCGTTCGTGTTCCTGATCGTGTTCACGTTGGTGCCGTCGGGGTTCACGCTGCACTCGTTGTAGCCTTGCTGGTAGTACTCGCCGTACACGTCATAGTTCCTGTAGCGGTTCCGGTGCGTATTGGGGTGCGTATTGGGCTTCCTTCTGCTCGACCACACTGCCATGAGCTCGCTCTCGTCACTCTCAACGTACGGTAGTTCCTTTCTCCCACGGCTCGCTTCCTTGGAGGATAAGGCGTCTCCAAGGGCAAGTTCTTCCTTGGTCTCCACTTTGTTGCCAAGGGCCTGCCACGGTCTCACCGCCATACTTCCTGCTCCTGGGACCAAGATCATCCCGCACAAAGTTGCGAGGCTTCCCAGTGCGAAACCAACCAGCAGCACCATACATGCTGCCAAACCGTAGCACTTCATGTTCCTTTTCTCTTTCTCTTCCACCAACACTCGGTCGGGGTAGCAATCGCTGCAAGCGTCAAAGTCTCGCGCGTTTCCTGCTGTCACGTTGTGGTTACGAAGGTGTCCACAACCTCTGCGGTGGTACTTTGTTCCTGAACGGACTGCGATCCTGAGCGTGGGCATGTTGAGCACTGTCTCTGTCTTCTTGGTGATCTGCTCATTCGCGCGCATCTGCTTCCATCCGGCAACGAGGCAAACTGCCATGGCGCCGAGCATCATGGTTCCTATGGCTACGAGTAGCATCATCGCTGCCAAGGAGGTTCCTGGAGGCAGCTCCGCTACCATGTTAAAGAACGGGCTTCACTAAGCTTCCTACTCTCAAACTGAAGCGGTCACTTTTCCCTGTGGGTCACTGTGTCCGCTGGTCTCGAGCCTTGCACGTCGCGTGTGCGTGACGGCTGTTCCTGTACATTAACTGCACTGCACTAACTGTGTTACTGTTCCTGGCAAGATGTTTAACAGGGAGACTGAATGGACCCGTACTACCTCGGCAAACACCTCGAATGGCCCATGGGAAGCCGAATGGAGTCGCAACGCCATTCCTGGGGAGGCATGGCAGTCTCGCCAACCGCCTTCCGATGGAAACCAGTCTCGTGCTCCTTCTGATGATGGGGAGCGCCGTGGCGCCCTGAGCGAGCGAATGTCGGTGCCTTCTTTCTCTGCTGAGAACAGCGGCGACGAGCTCGGCCAGTCTGCGCGGAGCTACATCAGGCAGATCGAAGCTTGGGTTCGTGTTACCAGAACACCCTGTGCACAACAGGCTCTTCTCCTCTACCAGAACCTTAAGGGTCGCGCTTGGATCGAGGCCGAGGAGCTGGAGGTTGCCGAGCTCTGCGTGCCAGACGGGGTGGAGCGCTTCAAGGCCTGGATCGCTGAGCGCTATCAAGAGATCGAGGTCGGCAAGATTGCGGAGGCCCTCAACGGTTTCTTCAAGAAGCTTCGTCGCGGTCCAAGTCAGTCTGTCAGGGAGTTCAACGCCACCTTCGACAGGGCATATGCAAGGCTGGTGGAGATCGAGTGCAAGCTTCCTGAGACTGCTCGCGCCTGGGCCTATCTGAGTGCGCTCTCTTTATCCCACACCGAAGAGCTGGCGATCCTCGGGAGCGTGAACAATGAGTTCGTGTGCACAAAACTCCAGAGAGCGGCGGTACTCCACGAGAAGAGTCTCCGGCGTCCTTGGGACAAGGACCACCCCAAGCCTTGGGATCGTGCCAAGAATGGCTTGAAGGTGAACTCGGCGAACAATGCAGAGCCCATCCCGGAGGAGACGGAGCTCGTTGACGAGGGCTCTGAGGACGACGGCCCCCGGAACCCGGAGGAGGCGGAGCTCTACGAGGCGTTCATGACGGCGAAGGCTCAGTACCGCGACGCGGTGAAGGGGCGAAACCTCGAGCCGGATGAAGTGAAGAAGGCCATCGAGAACAAGATCTTGAGCGCTAAACAGCGCTCCTTCTGCAGTGTCTGCAAGCAGCGGGGCCACTGGTACAAAGATCCCGAATGCCCTGGACCTCCCAACGGCAAGCCTAAAGGAAACCTCGACCCTGGTAAAACCCAAACCGCCAACGTCTCCAACGAGGTCTTCATGACGAGCGGGCCGCTGAGCGAGAACCTCCTGGCGATCACCGACAGCGCCTGTACTAAATCAGTTGCAGGGACTTCGTGGTTACAGCGATATGTGGAAGTGCTTAAGGCTTTCAACATTGAGGTGCCGCTGCTGGGAGAGTCCGATAACTTCAGGTTCGGGGCTTCGAGAATCTACTCCTCCAACTATGCCATTGTGGTTTCGTTCAAGGTTGGCTCCGCTTGGGTTCTCGTGAAGGTGGCAATCATTCATGGTGATCTTCCTCTTCTTCTGAGCCGTTCCGTTTTGGCTGAGCTAGGAATGGTCTACAACCTTAAGGAACACAAGGCGGACTTTGAGGCTGTGAGTGTATGCGGCTACCCTTTGCTCTCGACTCCCACAGGACATCCGGCTATAAGCGTTCATCCTGGAGGGCAGGGCATCCCGGCTATTGCACAGCCGAAGATGTGGGACGCCAACAAGTGCGTCCGCGGCGAAGTACAGATCCTTCTTGGCTCGGCAGCATACATGGCGGATTGCAGTGGGGGAGTGGGACATTGTAAAGTCTTTGTAACAGCTAACGCACTCCATGAAAGTCGACCTCCTCAAGAACAATTTCCTCAGATATTTTATGCCAAGAAGATCCCCCCCGAAGTCAAGAACCTTCTCATCAGTGAGACCTTGTCTGTAGAGAACTTCGTGAAGTGGTGGAATCAAACACGTATTTCTTCAGACTTCTGGATAGAGACTCGGTGCTCTCTGATTCGCATTCACGTTACCCCTCGAAAATCGTTGTTCAGCCCGGTGAACTGGAATACACAACAATCCCTACTACGAGACAATCTCCTGAAGGTACTTGGTAGTGTGAGAGAAACTTTCAGTGTCAGCTGTCGATCCCAGCGCGGTCTACCTCTTGCAGTTGATTTCTGGAACACGGTACCTGCCGATGCAAAGAGCTGTCACCAGTGCCTGTGGATTGGCCGAACAGTGTTCAATCGTAGACCGATTGCCCCAATTCGAAATCCTCCCGGCCTCTCTGGTAATGTCGTCGCGCCCAACATGGCAGATGACGAAAGCCCAGCTCCTAGCCGAAGCGACCCGCCTCAACCTGAACCCAATGACCTCGTGGACAGTGGAGGAGCTGCGGAGCGCGATCACCGAGTGCCTCGCGATCGACAAGGAGGAGAAAGGAGTGCCAAAAGGAATGTCGGGGATGAAGCTCGCCGACCTGAAGATGGAAGCGGACCGCATCGGAGTGACCTACGACTCCAAGGTGACGAGGGGAACACTCATGCGCCATATCAGGGACTACCACGAGACGCCGGACAACACCATCATGCAGATCGGCCGCTACAAAGGGAGTGCGTACTACCAGATACCACGCCAGTACGGGGAATGGGCCTCCCGCGAGGAACGCGAGAACGGGATCAATATGAGCGTGGACCTCAAGCGTTTCGTCCTCTGGTTCCGCAGGAAGACGGAGGAAAAGGAGACGAAGACAGGACCGACACGCCGGGAGATGATGGAGGAACCCGAGCGCTACGCGAAGATCCCGTACCCAGGATCAACGTCTTCCCGGTCTTGGGAGGAGGTGTCGGCGATGAGCTACGTGGACAAGGACCAGAGGCCTCTGACCCCTGCGAGCTCGGCGTCCCAGACACCGGCAAAGGCATCCCCGGCAAAGCGCAACGCGGAGAAGGACGTCACCAAGGAGAGGATGCATGTGGACCCACCGGCGCAGGTCTTGGAGGAGATTCAAGCGCTGGAGCAGCGCCTAGCTGTGCTCAAGGACCAGGTCGGGCCCCAGTGAACCACGGGATCACTGAGGGTGAGAAGGAGCTGGACGAGGGCGAGGTGACTGAGGGTTCCGAGGGCGCGATGTTTGCCTACCACGTGGACGACGAGAATGACGAGGAGGTGTGGGACGACCTCATCGGCGAGGACCAGAACGCCTACGTACTCCTCTCTGAGAATGTCGAGAAGATGATTTCCGAGGCCATCACCAAGCAGGATTTCTCAGCAACCACCCTTACCACAATCCTGGAGGCCACGTTCGGCAAGGAAGGTGAAGGCTTTCCTCATCGGGGAGCACGTGCCAGAAGAAAGGCTATGGGGGAGAATGACACTGGCAGCTCCAGATTGTCCCTCGGATACTACACCTACGGGAACATGCGAGGGATCTGTGCCAACACGTCAAAGTATGCCTCCCTGTGCCTGTACCTCAAGGACTACTTCCTCACGAGACAACCCGATGCCAGGTGGTCCTCTTTCTCGATCGCGTTCAACTGTACTCCCCATGTACATGCCGATTTCAACAACCTCAAGGGGACGCTCAACTACATCACCTGCGGCGGCAACTTCGCGTGTGGAGGGGGTCTTTGGCAGGAGAACGGACACGTGAAGGGCAATGATGTCATGTTGGACCCCAAAGACCGCGAGATCAAGGGCAAAGTGCAGAGCGCGTACGACAAAGTGATCTCCTTCGCACCAGAACGCCTTCATTCGGCCCAAGATTGGACAGAAGGCAATCGATGGTCGGTGACGGCATTTTCCACTCGAGGTTTCGCAGGGAGCACCCAAGGAGAACGACGGCAGCTACGACAATGGGGTTTTCCTCTACACGACCTACGGCATCTCTCTCGTGATCGGAAGATGATCGTCGACCACCAGGCTACCAAGGCTACCGTGTCCTTTCAAGACGAGGGCAAGGATGCACTACAACCTACGGCTTCCTCTTCCACTTCTTCTCGCCCCAAGAGGAGCATGCGGAAAAGTCTTTGGAGGAACGCCTCCCGTGCAAGCGCCTTCCTAACTTGGTCCCTCTCGTCTCTGTCTTTGGCTTGCACTTCGGCCTTTCCGACTTCGGGACCAGAGCCCACAACTCCGGCGGTGGCCCTTCTGGAGATCGGCGGGATCGAGCAAACCTTACAGGCCACTACGGATTTCGGATGTTTTGCGGCAGAACCAGTTCTCTGGGAGGACATCCCCCCCCACGACTCCGGTGACTTCGTGATCAAGATGCTCAAACAATCTCAACCCTCGATGTTATGGATCAACCCGGCCATGCATGACCAGTCCTTCGACGAGGCCAAGTTCTTTGAGATTGTGGATGTTTGTGGTCGATGGCAAGTACAACGCTATGGTTCCGTGGTGGTACCTACAGATCTACTTCCTGAAGGAATCCGACAGCGAGTTCTTCGACAACTTACGGCTTTTTGTCCTGTCGACACCGTCGTCATCGACAACCAGCAATGCTACAAGGCATCCTCCACGGGCGTCTCCATTAATCACATGGCCGAGGGAGAGGCACAAGGAGAACGTGAAGAACTACCATTTCGGGAAGGAGCGGCTGGAATAACTTTCGACAAGAAAGTTCCGAAGGACGTTGCTGCCGCCCTCCGTCGACTACACCAGAATCTTGGGCACCCTGCCCGGGAAGATTTGGTTCGTCATCTACATCTTGCCGGAGCTGACAAGGAGGTGATCAAAGCAGCCAAAAGCTTGTCCTGTTCAACTTGTGCGAGAACGAAGGGTCCAAAGAGTGCCCGGCCGGCGGCAGAACCCAGGCTCCTGGAATTCGGCGACGTGGTTGGGGTCGACATGATGTATGACTACGACATCGACGGGAAGAAAATCAAGTTGTTCTCCATCGTCGACCACGCCTCTTCCTACCAGGTCGTGGTACAGGTCCCCCGCCAGACCGGGGCCGTCCTCGAGAAAGCCTTCGTGAAGCATTGGGTCCAAGTGTTTGGAGCTCCCAAGGTGATCACCCTGGACCTGGAACGGGGCATCCAGGATGCTTTTGGACGCCTTGCCGATTGGTTCCACATCGACCTCCGCACCAGCGCGGGACAGGCCCATTGGCAGTCCGGTTTTACAGAAAGGCACGGTAAATGGTGGAAAGAGATTTTTGCCAGAGTCGTCCAAGACCAGACGGTACGCGGAGATGAAGTTGAGGAAGCCATCGCTGCCACGTCCTCAGCCAAGAACGAGCTGCGTCGCCGTTGCGGATGGGCACCCTGCCAGATCGTCTTCGGCAAGAATCCTCGTGGAGACGACGACCTTGAGTTTGAAGTCGAAGAAGGGGGTGGCGAACTGCTCAGGACACCAGACTCTGCTCAACAACGCCGGGCCACCATCAGGAATGCCGCGAAGCTTTCCTTCTTCCGGTCGCGAACCGAGGACAAGATCAGAAGAGGGATGTCACAGCGAGCACGTGTGAAACCAAGGGACCTCGACAACGGCGCGATGGTGCTTTTCTGGAGGAAGCCCGCGAACAAGAAGACTGGGTCCTGGAAGGGACCAGGAACCGTGATAGGACAACAAGACGGCAACTACTGGGTGTCACACAGTGGACGTTGCTATCTCTGCGCACCGGAGCACCTTCGCAAGGCACTCCCTGAGGAGCTCGGAGGACTCTATGCCCTTCGCGCCACCAAGGACGATCTGCTTCGCTTGGTCGAGAGAAACTACGACGATTCCGCCGTTTTCCCGGGAGAGGACGACGCCGAGATCGGGGACAAGGACCTCTTCGATGCGGTGATGGATCTTTCGGAAGTGGAAGCAGAAAGTGAAGTGGATGGAACTGGAGACATGGAGCTCGACAACGGAGACCTACTGGAGGAGGACCCTGGCGTCCCCCTTCCTGACCAACCATCCCGCGCCGTCCGCAGGAGGTTCTCCTCGAAGAGGCCGGAGCCCTACGACGCCGCCAAGGACAAGAAGGACCCCAATGAGGCCTACATGCTAAAAAGGGCTACCACGAAGCGAGGTCGCGACAAGCAGTTGGAGAAGGAGATCCCTTGGAGTATGATACCAGAGTCAAAGCGCCAGCTCTTCATCGACGCAGAACACAAGCAATGGGAGGAACATCTACGACTCGGAGCTCTCCGACCTCTCGACCTCGCAGAAAGCGCTGAGAAACTCAAGTCCGGACGGGTGCTCTCCTCGAGATTCGCATATCGGGACAAAAACCTCGCCCGGAGACGGACCGATCCTACGGTCGAGTGGAAGGCCAAGTCCCGGCTTGTGGTGTCGGGACATACCGACCCCGACATCGTCTCAGGTGCTCTCCGCACCGACTCGCCCACAGTTTCGCGGACGGCTGTAATGACTTTGCTACAAATCGCTGCCTCACAGCTGGACGCGGACTGGGGAATCGCAGCAGGAGATGTGACGGCAGCTTTCTTGAACGGCGAGAAGCTCGACCGTGAACTATACCTGCGTCAACCCAAACATGGACTTCCTGGACTGCATCCTGATCAACTTATCAAGATAGAAAAGGGAGTGTTCGGGTTGATCGACAGCCCTCGGAAATGGTGGAAAAAGTTCAAGAAGGACATCCAGGAGTTGACCATCGACCTCCCCGACAACAAGAAGGGCAAGTTCTTCGCGTCACCTCTTGATCCCTGCGTGTTTCAATTGGTCGAGCTGGACGATGAAGGGAAGCGCGGGCCTGGAAAGCCGCTCTGCTATGCTGCCGTTCATGTGGACGACATTCTTCTTGCAGGTCCCCGTGCTTTCCGTACTTCTGTTCAGGAGCAACTTTCCAGATGTTTTCCTGTTGACGAGTGGGAAGAGGATGTGTTCGATTTCATCGGTTCCCATATCGAGACCCGACATGATGGCATCTTCGTCTCCCAATCCTCATATGCCACCAACCGCCTCTTCGAGATCTACGTGGACCCCAAGGCCCCTGCTGATGCCCTGGCGGACACCGAACAGGTTGCAGACAACCGCTCACTGGTCGGGGCATTATCCTGGCTGGCGTCACAATCACGGCCGGATTTGGCTTGCGGCGTTTCCATGTGTCAACAACTACAAGCACGACCTACGGTTGAAGACATTCGTTTTACGAACACCATGGCGAAGCGAGCACTACTACACAAGGACGAGGGGATCCTATTGGCGAAGATCCCCCTCGACGAGATGGTGGTGGCCGTGTTCCACGACGCTGGCTGGAGCAACGCTCCAGACTCCAATGAGGACCCCGTCTACTTCCTGAATGAGGAGGACGAAAGGAACGGACTAATTACCGAAGGACCCTGGGTGAACAAGGTCCGAAAGACGAAGAAGAAGAACTCTAGTGTGGCCTCGCAACTAGGGGCGCTCGTGATGGTCTGCGGCAAGAACGGGATCAACTCTATGGGAGCCCCTGCGAGCATCTTGGAATGGCGCTCCCATGCGTGTGATCGTGTGTGCAGATCTACTTTCGGTGCTGAGACTATGGGATGTATGGAGGGATTCGAACTGGGTCAGTACGTGAGGGCGATGATCGACTCCTTCCTCACCGGGAAGATCACCAGGAACGCCGGGAAGGACATCCCCATCGTGGGAGTGACCGACTGCCGGTCCCTCTACGACCATATGCACCGTGATGGACTACCACGAACTCCTTCCGATCGAAGGCTGGCGATAGATATTGCCTGTTTGAGACAAACGCTGATGGAGGAGACAGCCGATCATGAGGACGCCAGGGCCCCTCTTGTTTGGGTACCGACACATCTTCAGCGAGCCGATGTCCTCACAAAGCCAAAATTGGCCAGTGACTGGTGGCCTCTTTTCGGGCAACTAAGTCTCCCCTTAAAGGAAGGGAAAGTTGTTTTGAAGCAGTGTAAATCTGAAGAACGCTGTAGGGCCCTGCACAGTAGTCTTTCCTGAAAGAGAAGGATGTTTCGGCCGCCAGCGCATATGATGCATTGCTTCACTCCTCGCTCGCACTCAAGGCTCACGTGTTTTCGCTGTTGCACTGGGGAAAAGCGAGTTCCTCTGCTGCCGTAGTCTTAGAATTAGAATAGGGTTTGCGGGGTATCATATACTATAAAAATTTTAATAAGGAGCCACCAAAATTCTATTGCAATCATTAGGTCATTATATAACACAGAATGTGTCTTCGTAGGGCGACCAGGTTCTCACAGGTCTTTACTCTTGGGTTTCAAAGGATTCGTACGGGGATTCGTGGGCTCAATGTTAGGACCTGAGTAACTACAGCTCATGGTTTTAGGGTATTTATGTTGCAGCACAGTAACCAAAAGGGAGCTTTCCGAAAATAGGGGACCCTAATAGAGTAATTACCCTAAATAGTAGGATCCTTATTATAAGGACCCCAAAACAAGTTACCCCTAATTTTCGGAAACTCCCATATTGGGACTACAAGGGAACGTTTACCACCCGGTACCCCTGACCGCGTAACACTCTTCAACTCGACAAGCTTAGGGTCGCTAAGTCTTGGAGCTTTCGGGCCTGCACCTGTTCTTGCTTTTGCCCCGATAGTCTTCCACTGCAACTGTGCCTAATATAGGGGCCTTGCGAATTAGAATAGGGTTTTGGGGCCCATTATACCATAACTATAAGGAACCCCGAGCATCCATCTACAGTAGATGTCGGTCTAAATCGAAAGGAATAAAGGAAGCCCTCAATGATAGGGACCCTTAAAGGGACCCTTTAGGTGCGCGCCACTGGAGGAGCCCCTTAGAAGGATCTGGGAACAGCTTGGGGAGAGCCTCCTCCACTATCTCCTCGTGGAATTGCTGGAGCCTTAGCATGAGAACAACAAGCCGAGCCACCCGACACCCGGCACCCCGGGTTGAGGGTTTAGGGTTTAGGTTTAGGGTTTGGGGTTTAGAGTTTATGGAGTGTTTTGTTTTTTTTTGGTGGGCTCTTTTCCAATTGCAGGTGCTATCGGAATCCCGAGTACCGGGAAGACTGCGTGCTTCTGGCTTTGGGGTTTTAATGTTTCTTGGTTTAGGACTTTCGGATTCGGAGGTTTATAATGGGGTTTAGGATTTTATTTCACGCTTAAGGGCTTTACGGCTTCAGAATCAAATATTCTACAGCTTTTGTTGTGTTTGGCTCCGATGCTTAAGAGTTTGTGTTTAGGGTCTCAACTTTCAACCATCCACACCCTAAAACATGCAGACTTCGAGAAGATGCGATGAACCACATGAGTAGAAAGCCATGCAGGGCAACACGGATATTTTGCCAGCATCGCCGGCGGTCTATCTAAATCCAGCCATCTGAGTAGGAGCACCTAAGTAACTGACACCCCTCTATTCTCTACACTGCACCTCGTCACTGGCTTCCTGGCCTGCATACTCATACAACCCACTGGCTAGCGACCAAACGGGCAGATCGATCATATTTCTTGATGCCCAGACGACGACAGACCCCGCGCGACGCACATGGAGAACTCCCACATGGATCCATTGCCCAGAACGAAACACAATTGCAAAACGGGGGAGGGGCAGGTCGAGGGCAAGAAGGGCTTCTTAGGTTGACGGTTTGGGGAGGAGGAGGAGGAGGAGGAGGAGGAGGAGGAGGAGGAGGAGGAGGAGGAGGAGGAGGAGGAGGGAGGAGGACACCGAGAAAGAAGTGACACAGGGAGAGAAACTGCGATAGACGGGAGCGTTTGGGGAAGAGGGGGGGACAGAAGAGGAGGGCCACGACAGAGAGAGAGAGAGAGAGAAGGACAGCGGAGTAAGAGATGGAGAAACCCAACGACAAAAAAATAAACCAAGGGATAGCTATAGTTGCGCCTTGAGCTTGCATAGTGCTCTTTGGGGATGGAGAGAACCCTAAACCCCAAACACCATGTAGATTGAACGCCCGGCCTATCTACTACCTAAACACCCCAAACCCTTGTGTTTTTAACCTCATGAAACCACGCAAATCGTTGTAATGTCCTGCGAAAACTTGCAAAACCAAATGCAACTCGATGTAGATATTCTGGCAAGACAACCCGACACAACCCTATACACGATATATGATACCAGGAACAGGTTTGCAACACCGTATAAAACTTAGAAAACCCTGGCAGCCTACATAAACTCTGATAAAACCTACAAAACCCTTATAAAACCTGACACAAACCTGCAAAACCCTTACAAACTCCGTTTAAAAAAAAAGCATGCTATACTGCTACAAAATTGGGCACTGGGCCCGGCACGTGGCCAACTTGAGAGCCAATCGCTCCTCGTTGCTCAGGAACTGATCCCTGCGAGCGCTTGGGAGGTTTAGGGCTTCGGGGTTTAGCGGTTTAGGGCTTTGGGGTTTAGGGCTTCAGGGGTCCAGAGCAGGGTTCGGGTACAGGGTTTAAGGGAAATGAGTAGGGTTGGGCGTTGTAGGCCTTCGAAAGCTTTCAGTCAAGGGCTACCCGTTGAAACCGAGAAGAAGCATGCTGCGGCCGGCTTTCCTCCACCGGATGTCAAGAGTTCCGTCCAGGAATGGTTCCTGGAAGTCTATGACTATTGGCTGTGGCCGTTGTGGCCTTCGCCAGAAATGAAATGTAATACAGTTTTGATTAAGCACTCTGGTTCATTAAGCTTGAGCTCAAAACTTCACACCGCTTCTGGGTGATAGGAGCAGGGGAGGACCAGAAATTTTGCCCGAAGCTTTGGCTCTGGGACTTTCCGACACACTCCCAAGGTTTGCAAGCAAGAGGGGGCAGTCTAAAAGCACACCCGAATTGAAAGGCACTGTGACTGTGCACTTCATGCGGAATCCGCGGTTGTCTCGGAGGTGTCAGCATGGGCGCTCACGCTCTTGATGCCGAAGAACCGCTCGATGCCCCAGGCCTTCGACGCCGGAGCTTCCGACTCGCTCTCAAGCTCACTCTCGTAGAACTTGTTGTACATGGCCTTGAAGTCGTTGATGTTCTCACGGCCCGTCTTTTGAAGCCGGCTGGGAGGAGAGCCCGTGATCCAGAGGTACGTCGCCTCTGGCCAGGACAGCTTCAGAGCCTTCCTCGCGATGAAGGGGTTCAAAGGTCCGAGGCCTGAGACAAAGGCGAAGACAGACATGGCCAAGATCGCTGCAGTGAACTGGCCGGCGATGTAGAGTCCCACCACATCGGTTCCACAGAAGAAGACCGCCATAGGCCCCAAGACCCGGGCCGGGTTCAGAGCGGCGCCGGTGTACTGGCCCCCAGCACCAGCGCAGGCGACGAGCGCCAGGCCCACGGCGAAGGGAGTGTGGCTGCCGTGCCCGGGCTTGGCCACACCGCAGGCGTAGACGCAGGAGATCAGGGTGAAGGTCATCACGCACTCCCAGCCGAAAATCTGCGAGTCACTGAGACCTTCGGCGATGACGCTGCGGTCGAAACATCCTGGGCCGGTGTCACCACTGCGGAGGAGCTCTTTGCCACCGGGCACCAGCCGAGCAGACACCCAAGCACCCATGATGGCACCGCAGATCTGGAGCACAATGTACACCACGGTGTGCATGAGGGGGTAGAAGCCACAGACTGCGGTGCTGAAGCTCACTGCAGGGTTCAAGTGCCCGCCGCTGACTCAGGCTGTAGAAACAACCAATTTAAAGCGTCTCACCAATCTCACAAGTGAGCTATTGAGCTCGCTGCAGTTGCAGCACAGGAGTGCAAAGCCCAGGCTAGCAGGTAGCAGCTAGCCTGCTAGCCTGGGCTTTGCACTCCTGTGCTGCAACTGCAGCGAGCTCAATAGCTCACTTGTGAGATTGGTGAGACGCTTTAAATTGGTTGTTGGCCGCCACATAGCTCCACACGGCCAGGGCGAAGCCGTTCACGAAGGGCGCCAGCTTCGGATCCGAGGTGCCTGCCAGGTTTAAGACACTGCGCGACCCTGCAACCCTCGTCCGCCCGACCAATTACTGATCACAGCTAGCTGCATTCATCCCCAAATAAAGTTCGTAGATGTTCGTAGATATTTATGAATCAGAGCAATAGTGAGAAATACAACACCAGCGCAATAAACACAACCCAAGACAGCATATCCTTGTTCCACATCCATGCGAACACTGCTACAGACAAATAACTTCCACTTTTCATGCAAAACTCTGTAGCCCAACAACATCTAAGACCCAGACCCAAACAAATTCCAAGACATGATGTTTGTGCTTGTTTGCTGTTGCTGCTTGTGCAGCATTCTGTCGCTAACTCCCTTCGCTTCACTTCTCATGTGGCGAGAGTGTGGGCAATGCAAGGTCTCAATGGGGCCTCCCAGGATCTGAAAGAACATGACGCCCAAGAACTCCACGGCCAGGGAGACGGCGAACTGCCTGGAGAACACGGACTTATAGTTGGCGAAGACGCTCTCCTTGTCCACGGTGTCGGCGCCAGACATGGTGCACGAAAAGGCTCCTGCGGGAATGAGAGCTGGGTCTTCAAAGCACTATCGCGGTACGTACCGCCTCTTGCCCTTGAGCCCACATTGGTGGCAGAGCAAGAGAAGTCATCTCGGTTGTGACGGAGCCATACACGTAAATCTAAGGACTCGGCTGTGGCTCAGACGCGGCACGGCAACCTTTCCTCCACCGGATGTCAAGAGTGCCCCTGTCCAAGAATGGTTCCTGGAAGTCTACGACTATTGGCTGTGGCCGTTGTGGCCTTCGCCAGAAATGAAATGTAATACAGTTTTGATTAAGTACTCTATAGTTCATTAAGCTTGAGCTCAAAACTTCACACCGCTTCTGGGTGATAGGAGCAGGGGAGGACCAGAAATTGGGCCCAAAGCTTTGGCTCTGGGACTTTCCGACACACTCCCAAGGTTTGCAAGCAAGAGGGGGCAGTCTAAAAGCACGCCCGAATTGAAAGGCACTGTGACTGTGCACTTCATGCGGAATCCGCGGTTGTCTCGGAGGTGTCAGCATGGGCGCTCATGCTCTTGATGCCGAAGAACCGCTCGATGCCCCAGGCCTTCGACGCCGGAGCTTCCGACTCGCTCTCAAGCTCACTCTCGTAGAACTTGTTGTACATTGCCTTGAAGTCGTTGATGTTCTCACGGCCCGTCTTTTGAAGCCGGCTGGGAGGAGAGCCCGTGATCCAGAGGTACGTCGCCTCTGGCCAGGACAGCTTCAGAGCCTTCCTCGCGATGAAGGGGTTCAAAGGTCCGAGGCCTGAGACAAAGGCGAAGACGGACATGGCCAAGATCGCTGCAGTGAACTGGCCGGCGATGTAGAGTCCCACCACATCGGTTCCACAGAAGAAGACCGCCATAGGCCCCAAGACCCGGGCCGGGTTCAGGGCGGCGCCGGTGTACTGGCCCCCAGCACCAGCGCAGGCGACGAGCGCCAGGCCCACGGCGAAGGGAGTGTGGCTGCCGTGCCCGGGCTTGGCCACACCGCAGGCGTAGACGCAGGAGATCAGGGTGAAGGTCATCACGCACTCCCAGCCGAAAATCTGCGAGTCACTGAGACCTTCGGCGATGACGCTGCGGTCGAAACATCCTGGGCCGGTGTCACCACTGCGGAGGAGCTCTTTGCCACCGGGCACCAGCCGAGCAGACACCCAAGCGCCCATGATGGCACCGCAGATCTGGAGCACAATGTACACCACGGTGTGCATGAGGGGGTAGAAGCCACAGACTGCGGTGCTGAAGCTCACTGCAGGGTTCAAGTGCCCGCCGCTGATGTTGGCCGCCACATAGATCCACACGGCCAGGGCGAAGCCGTTCACGAAGGGCGCCAGCTTCGGATCCGAGGTGCCTGCCAGGTTTAAGACACTGCGCGACCCTGCAACCCTCGTCCGCCCGACCAATTACTGATCACAGCTAGCTGCATTCATCCCCAAATAAAGTTCGTAGATGTTCGTAGATATTTATGAATCAGAGCAATAGTGAGAAATACAACACCAGCGCAATAAACACAACCCAAGACAGCAGATCATTTTCCGACACTGCCCCACATCCATGCGAACAATGCTACAGACAAATAACTTCCACTTCTCATGCAAAACTCTGTAGCCCAACAACATCTTAGACCAAGACCTGAGCAAATGCCAAGACATGATGTTTGTGCTTGTTTGCTGCTTGCGCAGTACTCTGTCGCTAACTCCCTTCGCTTCACTTCTCATGTGGCGCGCGGTGAGAGTGTGGGCATTGCAAGGTCTCAATGGGGCCTCCCAGGATCTGAAAGAACATGACGCCCAAGAACTCCACGGCCAGAGAGACGGCGAACTGCCTGGAGAACACGGACTTGTAGTTGGCGAAAACGCTCTCCTTGTCCACGGTGTCGGCGCCAGACATGGTGCACGAAAAGGCTCCTGCGGGAATGAGAGCTGGTTCTTCAAAGCACTATCGCGGTACGTACCGCCTCTTGCCCTTGAGCCCACATTTGTGGCAGAGCCAGAGAAGACACCTCGGTTGTGACGGAGCCATACACGTGAATCTAAGGACTCGGCTGTGGCTCAGACGCGGCACGGCAACCTTTCCTCCACCGGATGTCAAGAGTGCCCCTGTCCAAGAATGGTTCCTGGAAGTCTACGACTATTGGCTGTGGCCGTTGTGGCCTTCGCCAGAAATGAAATGTAATACAGTTTTGATTAAGTACTCTAGTCCATTTAGCTTGAGCTCAAAACTTCACACCGCTTCTGGGTGATAGGAGCAGGGGAGGACCAGAAATTGGGCCCAAAGCTTTGGCTCTGGGACTTTCCGACACACTCCCAAGGTTTGCAAGCAAGAGGGGGCAGTCTAAAAGCACACCCGAATTGAAAGGCACTGTGACTGTGCGCTTCATGCGGAATCCGCGGTTGTCTCGGAGGTGTCAGCATGGGCGCTCATGCTCTTGATGCCGAAGAACCGCTCGATGCCCCAGGCCTTCGACGCCGGAGCTTCCGACTCGCTCTCAAGCTCACTCTCGTAGAACTTGTTGTACATTGCCTTGAAGTCGTTGATGTTCTCACGGCCCGTCTTTTGAAGCCGGCTGGGAGGAGAGCCCGTGATCCAGAGGTACGTCGCCTCTGGCCAGGACAGCTTCAGAGCCTTCCTCGCGATGAAGGGGTTCAAAGGTCCGAGGCCTGAGACAAAGGCGAAGACAGACATGGCCAAGATCGCTGCAGTGAACTGGCCGGCGATGTAGAGTCCCACCACATCCGTTCCACAGAAGAAGACCGCCATAGGCCCCAAGACCCGGGCCGGGTTCAGGGCGGCGCCGGTGTACTGGCCCCCAGCACCAGCGCAGGCGACGAGCGCCAGGCCCACGGCGAAGGGAGTGTGGCTGCCGTGCCCGGGCTTGGCCACACCGCAGGCGTAGACGCAGGAGATCAGGGTGAAGGTCATCACGCACTCCCAGCCGAAAATCTGCGAGTCACTGAGACCTTCGGCGATGACGCTGCGGTCGAAACATCCTGGGCCGGTGTCACCACTGCGGAGGAGCTCTTTGCCACCGGGCACCAGCCGAGCAGACACCCAAGCGCCCATGATGGCACCGCAGATCTGGAGCACAATGTACACCACGGTGTGCATGAGGGGGTAGAAGCCACAGACTGCGGTGCTGAAGCTCACTGCAGGGTTCAAGTGCCCGCCGCTGATGTTGGCCGCCACATAGATCCACACGGCCAGGGCGAAGCCGTTCACGAAGGGCGCCAGCTTCGGATCCGAGGTGCCTGCCAGGATGAGTAAAAATGAGCGGAAGCGATGACCGAAAACAGCTACTACAGGCTTGCTAGCAGTAGCAACTGCAGTCAGTAGTACTAGAAGCGATGATAGCATCAGTGGCACCAAAATCAGCTTGAGCAAAAGTATGTATAGGAGCACTGGCAATAGAATCAGCCACATCAATAGTTGGCTAAGCAGCAGCGGAAGCAGCAAAAGAAGGAGCGGCAGCTGCAGCGGGTGGTGTGAAGGCGACAAGACAGATACTGAAGCAGAAGTACTACTGTGGCAGTAGCACTATTCGCAGTTTCAGCAGCAGCAGCGGCAAGCAGTAGCCGTAGGAGTGTAGCGGTAGCAAGTTTGCAGCGTAGCCATGGCAGTGTAGCGGTAGCAGTGTAGCAGTGTAGCAGCGTAGCCGTGTAGCGGTGTAGCAGTGGAGCAGTGCAGCAGTAGCAGTGTAGCAGTGGCACTCGCACTAGCAGTAGCAGTAGTTGTCGCCGTCGTAGTAGTATTAGTATCAGCAGGAGTGGTCGTCTACTACTAATGCCATCAGTACCGCTGCCACTGCCACTGTATCTCCGAACACTACCACTATCACTAGGACTACCTCTTGCTCTCTCTCTCGCTCTCTCTTACTTGTGCTCTTGATCTTACTACAATGTGCTCTTGCAGTTACTCTGCTGCTGCTGCTGCTGCTGCTACTGCTACTGCTACTGCTCCTGCGGCTGCGACTGCAACACTGCAACTAGCTCAACTCCTATGATGACTACGACGATCACCGCTGGAACTGCACTACTACTAGGGCGACTGCAGATGTTGCCGTTACCATGGCGACATCGCCAGCCACCACGACCGATGCCACTCTACCATTTCAGAGGCGCCTCCCAGGATCTGAAAGAACATGACGCCCAAGAACTCCACGGCCAGAGAGACGGCGAACTGCCTGGAAAAGACGGACTTGTAGTTGGCGAAGACGCTCTCCTTGTCCACGGTGTCGGCGCCAGCCATGGTGCAGGCGGAACCCAGGAACGGGAACGGGAACTAAGTCTCCGAATCGTGCTTTGTCGCCTCTTGCCCTCGAACCGGCGGCATTGGAGCGATGGGTTGTCCCTGAAAGCGGACATCTGCGCACTGAGCAACTCCCTTTGGGTCCCATCTCTAGTGACAGTCCGTCATGCACACCCCACCACTCTGATGGCGATCATGCTGATACAGTCTAGTATACTATAATCCAAAAACCCAATACAATATCATCCCTAAACCCGATACCCCAAACCCTGAAACTAATGTGACATAAAATAGCAGTGTCGTGCTGATCCTGAGGACCCCGCCGGCAAATCGAGTGGAGAGTTGTGCCCGCGGTGGTGTGGCAAGAGCTCTCCTGCTTCAGGGTTTAGGGTTTGGTTTTAGTGTTCGGGTTTAGGGTTTAGGGTTTCGGGTTTGGAGTTTAGAGTTTGGGGTCTGGGGTTTAGGGTTTTTAGGGCTCCATAGGGGCCGTAAGAATAGAAATTCGCAGGGACTTTGAAACTGGCATACAGACTGGGTTCTAAGGGTGAATTGCAGGCACCTCAACAATTAGACTTGGGTTAGGAGGGGGCATCTTGTAGAATAGCCGTATCTACAGTTGTAGTACAGTCATATTTTGTGGGCAGTTCGGGATGTTTAGGTTGACCTGCAGATACCTAGCACAGGGGTGCAGCTGTCCAAGCTGCAGACCAACAAGGGAGTTGAAATCCCCTGACACACACAGCCATATGGGAGTTTCCGAAAATAGGGGGCCCTAGTATAGCTAAGTAGGATCCTTATTATTAGGACCCCCAAAATAAGGTACCCCTACTTTTCGGAAACTCCCATATCCTCGCAGCTTGAGGAGCTTGCGCGGTGCATCCTCCCACCTAGGCCCAGCTAAACCAAAACCCGTCGGCCCACAGCCGCAGATCTGAACTTCCGTGCCAAACAACTCCGAAGCCGTTGAAAAAAACGAAGTCCCCTGAAGGGGCCCCCACCCTGTAGTAGTGGTATCATAGGAATATAATAGGGCCCCAATATAATCCTTATAGTCACCATTACAGGGTGGGGGCCCCTTCTAACCTAAAGCCTGTAAAGACCGTTCATCTGCAAAAACCGCAAGCGCTAGCACTCCACTACACGCTTCAAGGCAGCCCTCATTCCTCCGAGTGTTCCCCAAAAATCCTTTTAGGCATCGGAACATGGAGGCCTCAACAGTTGGAAAAGGGTTTCGGTGCAAGTTTTGCTATGTTTGCAAAAAGGGACTATAGTAATAATCATGCCTATTTATGCAGGCTTCTATACTGTGCAAGATCCTAAACCCTAAACCCAAAATACTGCAAACCCGGACAACCAAACACCTTACAAATCTTAAAACCCTCAACTAAAAGCCGCAGAAGCCCTATCATCCTGAAGCCTCAGCCCTTGTAGTATCTGCAAGCTCCCTGTAGGGCGTTCAACCCTAAACGAAAAACCTTTACATAGAACCAAGGAACCCTTATCACCCCCTTAAAGCACTAAAAACTGTACCCTTCAATAAACCCGACAGTCTCCGAAAAACATACGGGGCATCCTCCCCTAAACCCTACACCCCTAAACCCCAAATCCCAAGCCCCTAATTTAGGGGCCTTGATACTGGAAAGGGTTTTGGTGTAGTTTATACCATGAGTATAGTCTAGGTAACTGCTTAAGGCCCCTCTAGTAAAACCCCTAAGCCCCAAAACCCCGACTTCAGGCCTTTAGGCCTAGGCCCCTCTAGTAAAGCCCTCAACCCAAAACCCCCAAAAAGGCCTTCCGGAAACTCCTCGCCCCAAAAAAGTATAGGTAGCTGTTGAGGCCCTCTCGAGTAAACCGCTAAAACCCAAAACCCCAAAACAAGGCCCTTCAGAGACGCCTCGTCGTGAGGGCCAAGCTCCAGTGGGAGGCTGGACTCGGCCTCGAGGAGCCTTCGATCGCTTCGTTCGAACCCTTTAGGGCTTTTTAGGGCTTTAGGGTTTAGGGGTTTAGGGCTTTAGGGTTTAGGGCTTTAGGGTTTAGGGTTTAGGGGTTTAGGGTTTAGGGGTTTAGGGTTTAGGGGTTTAGGGTTTAGGGGTTTAGGGTTGTAGGGGTTCAGGGTTTGGGATTTGGGGTTCAGGGCTTCTCTCTTCGGAGTCTGAACTGATGATGACTAAGAGTGGTGATAATGGTAATAAGAATAACAAGAATAATGATAACAATAACATTAAAAAATGTACAATAGACTGGTAAGAATATTGATACGCAAGTACACAATGATAACAAGAGTAGCCAGTAGCGATAAAACCAACAGCAACAGTAGTCATTCTCATTCGGAAGTGCGAATAACAATAACTAGTAAACTAGTTATAGTAATGATAGTACTCAAAGCAACGATACTCATAGGTAGCACGATATTAAAATTATATACGAAGAAAGTCATACTACAAAATAACACTAGTACATCGTTTAGGATTTGGAGTCGGGGGCTTGAGGCTTTGGAGTTTTAGGGTTTAGCGCCGTTCAGTGATCAAAACCGCTTATAAGCCCTCCCGTAAGTCAAAAGAAACACGAAGATGACCCAACCCCCCAAAATGTTCAAAGCCCCCTCTTGCAAGTCCAACGAAACATGAGGATGACCCTAAACCCTAAACATCGAAGCATCAACCCTAAACCCGACAGCCCGAAAGCGCTGATTATACACCGGCTTGTAAGGCTAAAGGGACACGAGGATGACCCTAAACCCCAAACCCTAAACCTTATAGATCCTTATCGAGCTATACTATAGGGGCTTTAACAATTAGAATCGGATTTTGGGGCCCACTATTCTATAACTTTAACAAGGCAACCCACCCCCCCCCCCACCCCCCGCCCGCGCCTCCAACAAAAAAAAAGCATTGGTAACTATTTCGGCCCCCATCGAAGCCTACTATAGATCTCCTATAGACCCCCGTAAGGAACCCTGCAGAATAGTATTGGGAATTACTTCGCCACTTCGGCCCCTTTAGTGTCCACCTGGGTGGTTGTCAAAATTATGGTACCTTTTTGGGTCCCAATTGTAGTACGGCACCTCATATTTAGGGTACCCCCCTGGTACCCCAAAATGGACCCTAATTTTGATAAAGCCCCATACCCTCATAGAATCCCTATACATCCCTTTAAAGGAACCCAAAAAGGGACCCTAATTTTGACAACTACCCACCTCTTCTCCGCATCTCGGATCTGGTCTTGGAGGGCATCTGCCTTGCTCACTTGGAAGATCATGGGACTTAGTAAGTAAGGGTTATAAGTACCTTAGTTGGGCTTATAAGTATAGTTACCCCAATTATAACCCTACTTACTAAGTCCCATGATCCTTTAAGTAGGGTTTAGGGTTTGGGGACCAAAGCTTGGGGTTTCGGGCTTGGGTTTTTTTTGAGCACCTTTTTCCGTCCGCCTAGTAATAAGGTCTTGGGAATCTGGAATTGGAATTTAGGGTTTGGGGTTTAGGGATGTTTAGGGCTCAGCCTTCGGGAGTTTCACGACTGAAGGAGGCAGAACGTGGTCTTGTAGATGGGTGCGAGTATGGCACTGCAAGGGTTCTGCAAAACCTCCGGAGGGTTTTGGATCTCGGTGTTAAGACTAGGTTTAACCCCTAAACCCTAAACCCTAAACCACTAAACTTAAACCCTAAACCCTAAACCCCTAAAGCAAAAAAAACCTAAAGCCTAAACCCTAAGGGAAAGGATGGTAAAGGCTACAAGGCTCTTGGGGCATTTAGGGCTCGGGTGTCTTGGGTTCCGGCCGCAGGATGAAAGGTTGAAGCTTGCTGTACGGTTGATGATATAAATCCTGCATTACCTTGAGGACCCTAAACTATGGGAATTATGGTATATTATTCCTTGTTATGGGTAATGCAGGATTTATATCATCAACAGTAGGGGCCTTTTCTCCGGAAGTGGCTGGAGACCGAGGTCGCGCTCATAAATGCGTCATGCGAAAGTCTCAAAGAGTCGGACTGATGGGCCTTAATTATTAGAATGGGGTTTGGGGCCCCTTTATAGTATACTTATGATCAGGAACCCTAAGGAATAGGATTGGTGGTGATTCAGGCTTCTATATTAGGGTTACGATTGAGATCGTCCGGCTTCGGTCCGCAAATCCCCAAGGTCCAATCCCGGCCATGATTTCCATCCCCACACGGTCGCTGCCGAAGCGAATTTAAAACGAGCTTTGGGATTTATGAACTGTACTGTACCCATTTAATTGTGCTTATAACTCTACCCACTTTACTTACTTGTAAGATGGGATCAGAAGGAATACGATCATGGAATTGTCCCGGCCCCTAAACCCTAAACCGCGTGCACCCTGAAGCCTAAACCCCTAAACTCCTCCTCAACCCCCAAACTCCTAATCCCCTTCTTATACAAACCCTAAAACCCCCCCAACCTCCCTAACCCCTAAACCGCCTAAACCCCCAAACCACCTACGCATGTCCACTTCTGAGGCGGCGGCCCTCTTCTGTGCGTTGGAGACGCGGAGCTCCTCCACATGCAGGCAACAAGCAGAAGCCTTTTGGTTTAAGATTTAGATTTGGGGCTTATAAGGGTTTTATTTAGGCTTTAGGGTTTAGGGTTTAGGGTTTAGGGTTTAGGGTTTAGGGTTTAGGGTTTAGGGTTTAGGGTTTAATTTTTGAGGGTCAAGGGTTTGGGGCTTAGGGCTTTACGGGCTGAGGGTTTTATGCAATGGCAGAGGGTCAAGGGTTTAGGGTTTGCAGAGTTTAGTGCTTTAAGGATTCATGGTTCAGGGTTGAGTTGAAAATCCGGGATCCCCGCACTAACGAAAAAAATAAATTACAACAATAACAACTACGAAAATCATCGTGACAACGACGAAATAGCAATGCAAGAATCTGAAATTGGCAAAGGCAATACGCATCATATTCTTCTTCCTCCTCTTCTTCATCATCATCGATATGGTTGTTGATATCAGTAGTTCATATTATTGATAACTCAAGAGCCCCGACA